GATAACTTTTGTAAGTAATTAAGTTTCAATTATATCAATAGGGTTTTACTCCTTTGGAGTAATTTTCCGATAGATATCTTGACAAAATAAAGGCAGATGTCTTATTACTTAGGGATCAAATAGATTTCTGGCTAGCAAGTACTATAGTGATAAAAGTCAATTAAAGTAAAGGTTTATTTAATAAAATTGTTAAGTGGATGCTGGTTTTGCGGGCTCAGCACTTTTGCGACAGATGTATCTTCCACAAGAGATTATTGCATTTTGTGTAAGTTCTTTTAATTCGTCATCGGCATTGATTGCGACAGACAGGTGACAAGGTTTGATCCTTCGCTTTGCAGCCTTGAGTGCAGTATTACCACAAAGTTCCAGCACTTCAGCACATAGATACTCCATTACAGCTCCAACGTAGATGGCAGCACCAACTGCAACTCGCATTCTGGTCTCACTTCTCAAGCATCTATGAATTCGACCAACTGGAAATTGCAAGCCTGCTCTAACTGATTTGCTTTTCGCTTTTGTACGTACTTTTCCACCTTTGCCGCGAGTAGACATTTTATTGAAAATTTTCAATTTTTTCGTACTTATGTTTTTAAATTGTGCTTCCGGAAAAAACTTTTAGAATTAGCATAAGAAAATCAATACTTTCTAAAGTTTTTTCTGGAAGCACAATTTGAAAACATAAGTACGAAAAAATTCAAAATTTTCGATTTCAGAAATGGTTCAAAAAGTGAGTACTAAAGGATCTAAACGGGCGGCAGTTAAAGTTAGTAGCACAACACGTGCCTTACGAAAAAAGAAAAAGCGATCCCAAAACTATCATTTGTACATTCTCAGGATATTGAAATCTGTCCACACTGATTTGGGGATGTCAAAGAAAGCTATGATGGCTATGGACAGCTTTACTTTTGACATTTACGAAAAAATCAAGAACGAAGCTTGCAATTTAGTTCAGCATAATAGCAAAGCTACTATCACATCGAGAGAAATTCAAACAGCAGTACGCTTGATTTTGCCTGGAGAATTGGCAAAGCATGCTATTACCGAAGGGGCAAAGGCGGTCACCAAGTATACCAATACTAAGTGATTTTTACTTGATATAATAAAGAAAACTTGTTTTCTAACCATTTTTTTCCTTACATAAAAATAGCCCACGTGTCATAATCTTAACAAAAGAATGTTTTTTATTAATTTTAACGCAATAAGAACGTTTTTTATTGTTTTTAACGCTATTTAAAAAGTCCGTTTTAGTGTGTTTTCCAATTTTCACTTTAATATCGATTTGTGCTTCCGTGAAAAACTTTTAATATTATCGATTTGTGCTTCGGCGAAAAACTTTTTGCGTCGTCAATTTATAAACGCCAAATTTGGAGCGCAAATCAATGTCAGGACGTGGTAAAGGTGGAAAAGGAGGAAAGTCAGGTGCAAAGCGATTTAAAAAGATCCTGATCGATAACATTCAGGGGATCACAAAGCCTGCAATTAGGAGACTGTGTCGTAGAGGAGGTGTGAGAAGGATCTCAGGCAAAATTTATGAGGAGACAAGATGTGTCCTCAGGATCTTTATTGAGAGAACTATAAGAGATTGCATTTCCTATTGTGAACACGCTAAAAGAAAAACTGTGATTGCTATGGATGTGGTCTATGCCTTGAAGAGACAAGGGAGAACAATATATGGATTTGGTGGATGACTTTTTTTTTAATAAAAAAAATAAATTTTTATCTATATTAAATTCTGAGATATAAATTAAGTCGTTTTAGGGTTACAAGAAGCTTTCTATAAATAGTGTTTTTTATGAATTCTAATTACACAGTGATAATTTTAAAATTTTGTAAAATAGCTTTTTTCTACTTTAATGTGGTAAAATTTTGCTTAAAATAATGCTTTGATAATTTTAAAAAAAATTGTGTTTTGATAATTTTCCAAATTGTGCTTCCGGAAAAAAATTACTTGCTCTCTCGTATTGTTGCAAAATTGCGTGTGCTTCCGCGAAAAATTTAAGCGTACGTTAGTATTAGTACATCGCAAAAAAAAATCGATAATTTTAATTTTCATTCATTCGTCGATAAATAATGGCACGAACAAAACAAACTGCTAGAAAATCAACTGGAGCAAAAGTTCCAAGGAAACAGCTTTCTGCTAAATCTGCACGCAAGTCAGTTTCTCAATTGGGTGGTGTAAAGAAACCACATCGCTTTCGTCCTGGTGTCGTGGCAATGAGGGAGATCAGAAGATATCAAAAGAGTACTGACCTTCT